TTAAGTATGTCTCTTACATACAACAGATTGTTGGGTTTATTTTGCAAGACTTTTGGAAAATTTATTCTTTAAATAAATTTTATACCCATTCACATTTAAAAAAGTTATAGAGAAAAATTACCTTTTTTTTTTAGTATACAGTTTTAACATATGTACAGATTCACATTACCATCAGTATAACAACATATAGGGCAATTCCAAATCTTTGGACCTAACTTCTGGTAAACACTGAACTGTTCTCTGTTGCCATTGTTTTGCCTTTGCTGGAATGTCATACAAATGTCATATAAATGGAAAATACAGTATATAATGTTTTAAGATTGGCTCTCTTCACTCAACATAATGCCTTTGTGATTCATCTGTGTTGCTGCATGTGTCAGTAATTTGTTCCTTTTGTATTACTCTGAATTATTCTATCATATACAAGTTGTACAGTGGTCCTATAGTTTGTCCACTCATCCATTGGAAGAATGGGTTGCTTATAGTTTGGGGAGATTATGAATAGAGCTGATATGCACATTTGTGTGCAGGTGTATGTGTGAACATACATTTTCATTTTTCTGGGATAATTACCTGATTAATGGGATTGTAAGGTCATAGGGAATGTGTATGTTTACCTTATAAAAAACTACCAAACTGTTTTAAAGAGTAACTGTACTATTTTGTATTCCCACTAGCCAAGATTAAAGTTCTAGTCGCTTTGCTTCCCTGTCAGCACTTAGTATTGTCAAGTTTTGTTTTCTGCCCCATCATGTTCTATGGAATCTCATTGTGGTTTTAATTTGCATTTGATTCACAGTTAAATATGTTAAATACTTTTCATGTCCTTATTGGTCATCTGCATATCCACTTTGGTGAAGTGTTTTTTTTTCAAGTCTTCTACCCATTTTAAAAAATTGGATTGTTCATTTCCTACTGTTTAATTTTGAGAGTTCTTTACATATTCTGGATACAAGTCTCTTGTTACATAAGATATTTGCAAATATTTTTTCCTGATCTGAGCCATAGCTTTTCTTTCAAGTATCTTTCACACAGCAAAATTTTTAAATTTTAATGAAGTCAAATTTATTACTTTTATCCTATATGGGTTGTGCATTTAGTTTCATATTGAAGAACTCCTTGACTAACTCCAAGTGACAAAGATTTTCTCCCATGTTTCCTTCAAAAATTTGTATAGTTTTATAGTTTTACCCTTAGACCTGTGGTTGATTTTGAATTAATATTGTGTAAAATCTAATGGATTTTGCATGTAGACATCCACTTGTCCAAACACCATTTGTTGAAAAGACAATATTTTCTCTACTTAATTACCTTAACACCTTTGTTAAAAATCAAGTGGACCTATTTTTGGTCCACTTGTGGGTCTATTTCTGAACTCTATTCTGTTCCATTGATCTACCTATCTCTCCAACACAGCAGTGTCTTGGTTATGATAGCTTTATAGTAAGTGTCAAAATAAGGTAGTGTGGGTTCTTCAAGTTTATTCTTTTTAAAAATTAATTTAACTATTTTAATTTGTCTTTTCATATAAATTTTAGAATCAGTTCTCTAGAGCTACAAAAATTCTCCATGGAATTTTTATTGCAGTTGCCTCAGATTATAGATCCCTTCATGATAAAATATGTACAACACATTTTAGAATTATCAAACTATAATGATGTAATAAGAAGACCACATGAACCAACCAGTCAATAAAAGAAGTAGAACATTAAAACTTATGTCTACCTCCATAGTTCTTCTCTTATATCCACAACTACTTTTTCCTTTGATGCAGTCAATTAATTACTCAAGACATTCCAATTTGTTGAATTATTGGATATTTGAATCACCTTCCACTTGTGACTTTGCTATTAGAATTTTACATCTTATGGCCACCTCTTCTAAAAAAGGTTGAGAGTAGAAGAGGAGGTAAACCTCATACTACTTTTAAAACACAAATTTTTAGCAGCTACATTGAACTAATTTTTTAAGTTAAAGGTTAGGTTTAAGGAGGTATACATTTTACTCTTAAATAAAAATATGAAACTAATATAATTAATTTATCCAATCATTTATTCCTTCTGAAGTCCCATAAGAACATACCAGTACCTTTTTTTATACACCTGTAATTCTCTACAATGCATTACATTTATTTATATACATATGCTATTTTATTTTTCCCCCTGTTTAGTAAAATATAATTATCATAGAATATTGCATTAGTGTAAGGTGTGCAAGATAATGATTTGGTTATGTATATATTGCAAAATGATCACCATGGTAAGTTTAACATCTATCACCTCACATAGTTACCACAATTTTTTCTTTGAATGAGAACTTTTAAGATCTACTCTCTTAGCAACTTTCAAATACACAATACAGTGTTGTTAACTGGAATCACCATGCTGCCCATTATATTCCCAAAATTTATCTGAAAACTGGAAGTTTTTATCTACTAAAGACATAAATAAAGCTCATGAAAATTAGTCTGGAGAAATGGAGGAATAGATATTTCTAGACCAACTGATTGTGTCAATGACCACCTAAGTCTGTCAGTAGTCAGTCATTTTTTTCCTTTCATTTTCAGTGTATATACATTTGAATGCTTCCAAGCAACCTTGAGCAGGAGGGTAAAGAATTAAGGAAAGTGTAGAATGTTAGGCTGTGAAAACACCGAATGGCCTACTGGGGCACTCAGTAAGTGGCTTGTCACAGGAAACCTACATCACAGAATATATGTCTATTTTTAAGGAGTTTTGTTTGGTGAGAAGCCTACTTATGAGTTAATGTGAGATGGAGATATTCAATGCAAAACTTGTAGCAGGTTGACTAAGAATTAGTTATTTACTAATATAAAATACCAAATGTGTCTAGTACTTGCCAATATAAAATACCAATGTGTCTAGTATTAATGTCATTCATTATCATGGCATATGAAAAGTTTATATGTGTATTTGTGTATTCATGTGTATGTAATGCTAAAATTTAATATTTGTAATGTTGCACTTAATTTATCCATTCAAAAACACTAAGCCATATTCTGGGCTCTGAAAATACAGGAATGAAACATATAGGTCATATTCTAAATTTATAACCAAATGATATATGTGATATATTTTCTTTGGAATTTATCTAAACATTAGTTCTCTTTCAGGGAAATTCATATTATATATCAAAATTATATCATAAATGTATTTGAATTTCTATTTTGATTTTAATTAAGAAATAGCTTAGACTTCTTAGCAATAAACTAAATTGATATATAATTGTTTTAGCAATAGTAATAATTCACATTATAATTATATTTGAAATCTATTTCATCTTTGCCTTCATGACAAGATAATATTTTCAATCACATAATGTAACTCCTAATATTTTATCACAGTCTTGCTCAAGATTCATGCATCTTAGGCTATGGGATATAGTGATGTAATCTAAGAAGATCACTCTGAATCTATGTGTACATGGAACATTGGCAATAAGCTTAATTAGCATTAATTAATTCTACTTTTGAATGTGTAATTGTGTACTGCAAGACATAAATGTGCCCAAATTTTATCCAGTTTTGTCACACATTTTCTCAATTAACAGATATTTAAGGTTTAATATTTAGCAAAGATAGTCTGAAATATTTTGACATGAAAATGGTTCTTGTGTCTTGAAAAGAATTAGATCATAATGCCACTAGGGGGCTCACAGACCATGTGTGTAAATCCTGTGGCATCATACACTTCAGGGCACTTTAAAAAGGGATGTAATAGCTGGGACAATAATATTACACTGACTAGTTTTGTGTAGGGGGTTAAGAAGTAACATTTTTATGGCAACAGAGAAAGTCACATTAACAGGAGAGTCCAGAAAATACATTAAACAGGTGTAATTCATCAGAGAAGTTAGTAAGAAGAGGTCAAGAATAGAAATTGAAGAGGTGTACCTGGGTGACTCAGTTGGATAAGCATCCGACTTCGGCTCAGGTCATGATCTCGTGGTTTGTGGTTTGAGCCCTGTGTAGGGCTCTATGCTGACAGCTAGGAGCCTGGATCCTACTTCGGATTCTGTGTGTGTCTCTCTCTCTCTCTCTCTCTCTCTCTCTCTCTCTCTGCCCCTTTCCCGCTCATTCTCTCTCTCTCTCTCTCCCTCTCTCAAAAATAAATAAACATTAAAAAAATTTAAAAAAAAGAAATTGGAGAAATGTGAAAGTCTGGCATTAGTCCCTGTGAACACCCCATCGCTTAGGACTTGCCTATTGCTACAGGGACACGAGCTCTAGCTGTCAAGCCGTGGAGTCCTAGGGTTGGACAGAATTACTTTTGCACAAATAACATTATGTGGTATTGATTCAGATGTCTCATATTGAGATTTGTTTGTAATCAATGTTTAAAAAGCTTTAGCTGGTTCACTTCCTTTAGGGTAAGATTATATCAATATTATTTCATTTTTTAAAGAAAGACCCTTGAAAAATAATTTGAGGTGTTTCTTATGTAATTCAAATTGAGGCGCTTTTATCCAAGAGCATTCTGTTTTTTTAAGTTTTTTTTAATGCTTATTTATTTTTAAGAGAGAGAGACAGAATGCAAGCGGAGGAGGGGCAGAGAGAGAGGGAGACACAGAATCTGAAGCAGGCTCCAGTCTCCAAGTGAGCTGTCAGCCCAGAGCCCAACAAGGGGCTCGAACTCACGGACTTGGACTGCGAGATCATTACCCGAGCCAAAGTCAGATGCTTAACCGACCGAGCCACCCAGGTGTCCCGAGCATTCTTTTTTTCTTTTAATAATATTATTAAATGTCTATTTATTGATTTTGAGACAGAGATAGAGAAAGAGAGGGAGAGAGAGAGAATCCTAAGCAGGCTCCACTGTCAGCACGGAGCCTGTCGCCAGGCTCGAACTCAGAACTGTGAGATTATGACCTGAGCTGAAACGAAGAGTCCAATGCCTAACCAACTGAGACACCGAGGTGCCTCCAGGAGCATTCTTAAATATTTTATTAATTCCACCTATTTTGTTTTGTTTACAATGTAGGGACAGTTCAGCATTAACTTGGCAGGAACTGGAATGAGGATATCCAGCACAGCAAAGTGGCTTGCTCAGGGGAGTTATGCCTCTGTCATCATCCACAGATCACAAGTAAGTCCTGCTGGACCAAAATGCCTGTCTGAAATACTGTGCTGTGAACTGGAATTAAAGGACCTCTACTTTAGAGTTATAAAGTTAATGACTAATGAGTTATTGCATATATGAGGCATGTTACATATAATGGGGCATAATATTAATCTATGAAATAATGAAACTGGGTTCATTGTTATTAATGCACATGTGTTTTTACGTGCATATAAATCCATGTGTAGGCTACAGATCCTTGGACCTGAAATATCAAATGCCAGGGCATAGAGATTTTATCTGGCTTGTTTGGGGCTGCTGACTTGATATGCCAGTACTTCAAAAAGAGGTAGTGCTGTTAGCTATACTTTAATTATTAAAGATGTGGTAGTTTTAATATTTCAAAGTGAGGAGTATATTTTTGGTTTATTTACCTCAGTGCTTTGATTCAGTGATGGGGGTGGTGTTAAAGCCATTTTTCGTTCAACATCTGTTCTTTATAGTTTCTCTAAGAATTAGGACTATTTTTATGGGTGTATGCATATTTTCCTCTGCCTTTATCTAGATAACATCGTACTTGGCTTTTACTGTAGCACACGTATTACATGTAGAACACGTTTAATTTGCTCATACACTGCCCTGGCACGTACCCTTTATGAGATGGTTCCTGTTACTTCCGGTTACCATGTCTCAGATAGCAGGACTCTATCTACAGTAAATCAGGATCTGTAAGTGTTTTCACCTGTGTTACTCATAAGTCAGCACCATCGACAGCCCCTGCCCATTCGATTTTAGGGTTTTTCTTTCTTTTGATAGAAGTTACTTTTGTTATGCTCCTACTTGTATCAATATTATTTGTAAGTGAAACTCAATTTTCTAATATTCATAGACACTAAGACATTCTATTTCTGAAGGCTATGCAACTGAGTTTTAATGAACACCTAAAGAATTTAAATTTTTATCATTTCTGCCATTTGGGTCAGAAGTAGGCTTTTAGAACAAATGGCTATTTTTAAATTTTGATTTGGCATATTTAGGTCTAATCCTGTTTGGTAGAAAGTATGGGAATAAATGAATTACTTGAAGTATATTCTGAGCAGGTCTCAGTGCAAAGAGCTCAATGAAATATTTCACCTTATTTATCCAGCTTTTAGATATCTTTTTGGTATTGTAAAGAGACCACCAGTAGGTGTGACTATTTAGTACAGTCATTCCTTTTGCTTCTTTTGAAGTTCCATTGTAAAGCTTAATTATTTAATCGACTGAGAATTTCGACCTTGATCAAAAATGTTGCATATGAAAGCATTTCCTGAAACCTGAGGCCTGGTGTGAAGCTGAAATGGGTGGAACCCACACTTACGCATGAAATGCAAACCTCTTTTTACTTGCCAAGACATTTTATCCAGATTAGCTTTTTACTTAAACAATCTGGGGATAAGAATGTATGTATATGAATGGGAATTTTTACCGCCATTCCCTTCTTCTCTGCTTACTTACATTCTTGACAGTTAAAAAGCTTCTGAAAGAAAAGACAACTTAAAAACCCCTGATCTCAAAACATTCTTTACCCCAAAATGTTCTAGGAACTCAAAGTTTCCTTCTCTGCCCTCCCTTTTAACATGAAAAACAAAACAAAACAAACAAAAAACCTTATTTTCTCCAGATACTCATATAGGAGCTCAAACTATTTTTTGCCTCATCCTATTAAAATGTCTTCAGTCTTTTGGCTTTTGGTCAAAGATGGAAAGCAGTCTAGAGAGAACATGCATCACACCCCTCTCACCAGCCTCTGTCTACCTGTTTGTCAGTGAATGGTTCTGCTTTTCTTAAAATAGGTGGGAAAAAAAAAAGAAAAAAGAGAGGAATCTCCCTTCTTAGTCCTTTTTCTAATTATAATTACTGCTTTTAGTCCAGTTTTATCCATTTTATCACCTTCTCCCCTTCTATACTTTTCTATAAACTGCGTTTTTAATACTTCTGTGAGATGTTTAAGGTTAATGGGGGAGAATAGGACTTGTCAGTTAAGGTCAAATTCGTATATTTTTTATTTAGCCTATGAGAAGCTTATGTAAAATCATGTAAATATCAGACAGCAAATTGGGAGAGTTTTTAACGAGCTCGCTGAAGCAAATAGACACCTCGATAAAAAATATGTAGTTTGAGATGAATTGTCTAAATTTTAGTGTGGATTATAATCAAGTAGCTAATATGAATCTCAGATTATCCAGTTCCCATGACCACAAATTTCAACTAAGCCTGAAACGGTATGATCTTTGACCTCAAATGTAATTGTTATAGGAAACTTTGGCTAAATGATTTCAGCCCCATGATTCAAAGCATTTGCTCTTTCTGCCTGTGTGCACAGATACCAGCTCATGTATGGTTATCCTATATTTCTGCCTCTTCCTATTTTCAGGATGGAACCAAAGTCTACGGGAGATGCGGAGGGTTCTGTGGAAAGTGTATTCCTCACATGACTACTGGTCTCCCAATTCAAGTAATATGAACATTCAGAAATGGGAAGTATGAGGAGATATTCTCGGGAATATCTGCGAATAACCGGTGCTCGTTTCTTTACTCTTCCCTTCCTGAGATTTCCACATCCAAAATGTCTGTGCCTTTTCTTTTCCTTTTCTTTCTTTTTTTTTTTTTTCCAGGGTGCTCATCAGGGAATCAAATCACTGCTTAATTTTTCCAAAGCCTTCAAAATAAGCTTAACATATATATGATTCTAATCGGGATCTTTTTAAAAGGACACAATAATTTATGGTAGAATATACAGATATTTGAATGAATTATACCAAGGTGATGTTGCTGTTAACAAACAGCTTGGAATGGATTACAGTTATATTATACCTATAATCGCACATATAAATCTACTCAGTACTGAATTGTACAATGAAATGTTTATTCTACTTGTTAAAATGGAGCAAGTAAAAATTAGGAAAATGAACTTATTTAAAACAACTATAAACATTATTAAATCTGTCAGGTGAATAGCAAATCCATAGTCACATCAAAAAGTACATAGCCATTATACTTTCTACTGATACAGCTTAGATACCTTGTTTTATATTTCCTTTAATTTTTAATTGTGGGTTATGGTGCTTCAAATAAAAAAAATTATCCTGGAAATGCAGTATACTTTTATATTAAAAATGTATGCTTGGGTTAAATACAAATATGAAAATTTGTGGGTATAACGCAGAAGATATGATACAGTAGAATTTTACTTAAAACACCTACCTCTAATTTGATTGTACATACAAAAGCAATATGTTGTTTTTATAATGTTTATATTCTGTCTCAATAACTCTTATATATGTAAATATTTACTCTGAAAGATCTAGTTTCTCAAAAACTATATACCGTATTTTATTAATCAAATAGAGAAATGAGAATAATTGAAATTTTGGAAATCCCATTTTGGTAAACAAAATTATGTTTACATATGCAAAATTTTTATTAGAGATGTTCAAGTTATTTTATATCTGAGGTTTTCAAAGCCAAAACATAAAAGATAGTATACAAAAATTAACTATTCATGGGTAAATTCTCAGGTATTTAGAGATTTTTTTCAGGTGAATAATTTGTGTACTATATAATAATGTGATTTTAAAAGAATCATAGACAAATAGTATTTTCCTATGGCAACTTCTCTGTAAACCAAAAAATGAATCTACTAATAGATTTTTGCCAGGAAATAGTTAGTGTACTAGTTTTACCCACAAAGTTTTTTTTCCCCCAAACATTTATTATTATTTATTTTTTCCCCAAACACTTTTTTCCCAAACATATATTGTACCATATAAGGTACTAAGGCTATTTGTGCCAGTGTGGTTAGATAAACGTTTAGGGATCTCTGTATCAGAAATGAAGTATTTTGCACTATGTGCCTTAAACCAGTTACAATCATTAATACAAAATGTGTAACATTTTCTAGAAATGTTTTCATTCATAATTAAAATCTTACAAACATTTAAATAATAAACATATCTGTGTGATACATTAGCATTTTGTTTTCGTTTTCCTTACGTGCAAAAAAATGAGTCCTCCACCAAAAGTCTATAACACTAAAACCACTCCAGAAATTCCAAGAATTTTTATTTTAATTGTTGCAGTTGGGATGGAAAGGGCTCCTATTCTGTGTATACCCTTCTTGTGGCAGAGGGAATATGGGCAGGAAGTGACAAAAACTTAACAATGCCTTTAAAAGCTTCTGTTTATACAAGGGATATCCATGTCTATTCACATTCAATTGGCCAAATTAAATCATATGACCCAAATCCTAGTCTCTGGGACAGGGAAATATATTCTCCCCATGGGCCAAGATTGCCAGGCACAGGCAAGTGGGTGAGGGCCTAGAATTCTCTCCCAGGGGGAGGGAGCAGGTACTTGTAAACAAGAATACATTTTACCCATCCATCTTCAGCCTTCCTGGAAATCGTCAAAGTACTATCCAAAGCAGTTAAATCAATTTAAATTACCACTGGCCAGGTGTAAAAATTTTAGAGTATCCATTGAGTTTGTATTTTGAGTATCCATTTAGAGTATCTATTGAGTATCCATTTAGAGTATCACTGAGGAATGACAAATGAATTTTTTTTTAATTTTCTTTAACGTTTATTCATGTTTTGAGAGACAGGGACACAGCGTGAGTGGGGGAGGGGCAGAGACAGAGGGAGACAGAATCTGAAGCAGGTCCAGGTTCTGAACTGACAGCACAGAGCCCTTCGCGGGGCTCGAACTCACAAACCGTGAGATCATGACCTGAGCCGAAGTCCGACACTTAACCAAGGGAGCCACCCAGGTGCCCCCAATGAATTTTTTTTAATCTAATCTGCTGGGATATAGCATAGTATTTCACTGTTTGAATATTTATATTTATCTCATTACTAGATTGGATGAGGATTCTTTTACATACACTTTGCCATTAGGTTTCTTTTTCTGAGAATTGCTTATTTTTATTCTCTTTGCCTCTCTTCTGCCCCATTTTTCCCATCTTCTCATATCCCCCAACCCACTCCCCAATTCATTAAGAAAGAAAGAGAGAGAAAAGAAAGAAAGAAAGAAAGAAAGAAAGAAAGAAAGAAAGAAAGAAAGAAAGAAAAAGAAACATACATGAGGGAAAAAAGGAGTTTTATGTGAATGTGATTTAAAACATTTGAGAATCTCTTATCACAAAGCTTGCTTTTGATTCTACCTTAAATTACTTGCAAATATTAATATGTACTGTATAATAATTTCCTGTTCTTGCTTATCATTTAAGATGAAGCATTCTCTACATGTATTTTATTCATTTTCCCCCACTCCTTAAAGAGCAATGGTTTCCCTGCTCATGATGAAGGCCAGTCCCCCAACCTCTGCTCTTGATTTCTTCTCACTGTGAATTCTCCAGAACCTCTTCCCACAGATTTTTCGGTCTCCTCCTTTTTCCTTTCTCTCTCCACTGGCTCCTTCTCATCATCCAAATAAAAAAAAAGTGTTCAATTCTCTCCACTTTATTTTGTATCATTTTTTATTGAAGTATAGTTGACTTACAATGTTTTATTTTACAAGTATAGTTGACTTACACAATTCCAAACGTGGCACAGTGCTCACCATGATATGTGCAATCACCACCAGTTACCATGCAAGGTTATTATAGTATTATTGATTATATTTCCTGCATTATACTTTTCACCCACTGTGGCTTATTTGTTTTATAACTGAAGTTTTTA